CAGCGCATGGGCGCGCATTTTGTCTGTGCGCTTTCATGGTGTAGAAGTGAAATTCTGTGGATCCGTGGATGCCGGATGCACCTTTTTGGCTTTACGGCATAAAATCTCATGGTGCGCGTGTATGGCACCCGCTATGGGGCACGCGTATGGCGCGCGTATAGGAGCATATGGTGCACATCTGTCTGTGCCCTTTTACGGTGTAAAGGTAGCTCCAGCCATCTCAATGGACATCTGGCATATCTTTCTGGCAAGGGCTTTGGCTGCATGCGTGGTATCAAGTTTGATCTCACAGTCAGAGCCTTCAGCGCGCGTATGGCACACACGTATGGCCTGCGTATGGCGCGCGTTTTGTCTGCGCGCTTTTACGGCATAAAAGTGGAAGTCCGTGGATCCGCCAACATCTGGACGCGTTTTTTGGCGGGACAAGATGGCGTTTACGCCGTAAAAGTCTCGGGGCATATATATAGGGTCAAGACAAAGCTTCGAGTCACGAGCACGGCAGGTCCAACAGCACTCTTAACTGATGAGCTGAATATTAAAGGGAAGGGTACGCTACCGGAGAGAGAGAGAGAGAGATTTTACCGCGCGCGTCTGCGATGGTCCACTGCATATCAGTCGCTCAACTGACGTACCGTGAATCGATCGTCGAGAAAGGACTGATCTGTGCCTTGCAAGACGACTGCGATCCCGAGGCCAGATGGTCCCATTTCGATGCCAGAAATCTCGTCCGTGCCATCGGTTGCAAGTCTTTGTACTGCTTGGCAGTGCTCAAAGTCGCAAAGAAAGGCATCAGGCCGTGGTCTCTGGCGACGGGCGAGGACAAACGCGAGGTAGTATTCCCTAAGAGCAGTGGGACCACCCTTGATTGCCGTAGGAACTTGGCTAGTGAGCCAAGTGCGACGGGGAGCACAAAAGGCGTCCTGGTAAGCACGGCCATCTGAGCTCTTGTCCTGGAGCAATTCCAAGTACCTGCCAAATCTCTCGTATTGTAGATTGACAGGGGGCAAGGAGCGACGCAGACGCAGTTCTGTGCAGATTACCTCGGTGAGCTTGGCTTTAGCATCTGTTGCAGCAGCAATCGCTTCGTCGCGCGCAATTTCAGCCTCTTGCCGTGCAGTGTTGCGTGCAATCTCGGCGTCTTTCTTGGCTTGATCAGACACATTGTCGCGCTCGGTCTCGGCGTTAGTCCTTGCTTGGTCAGCATCGGCTTTTTCTTGGACAGCCTCGTTGAGCTTGACCTCCGCTTGCTGCTTTTCTGCAATCGCCTGATCGCGATCGCGTTCCGCTCGTTGTTTCGCGTCTCGAGCGTCGGTCTTGTCTGCGATCGCCTGATTGCGATCGCGTTCCGCTTGCTGCTGTGCCACGTTTGCCTGATCGCGCTCACTTTCCGCTTGCTTTGCTGCCTCGCTCGCTCGATCGCGATTGCTTTCCGCTCGTTGCTTTTCTGCAATCGCATGATCGCGATCGCTTTCCGCTTGCTTTGCGGCCTCCCTTGCTTGATCGCGCTCGCTTTCAGCTCGTCGCATTGCGTCCTGAGCACTCATCCTGTCAACGTTGGCTTGATTGCGCTCTTGCTCTGCTTGCAACTTGGCTTCATGAGCGGTTATTTTTTCAAGATTTGCCTCACTGCGCGCACTCTCCGCTTGCTGCTTGGCCTTGTGTGAGTGATCACGCTCGCTTTCTGCTTGCTGCAATGCAGCTTTTGCCTGATCGCGCTCAAGTTCTGCTTGTTGCTTGTTGCTTGGCTTTGCTCGCCTCGCTGCAACTCGTAGCAGGCTGCTGGTTTTCCTGCTCCAAATCCTCGATGCGCGTTTCCAAAGAAGACAGACGGGCTTCCCCTTCACTGCTCTCTTGCCACACTTGCAGCTGCGCCTTGGCATGCCTCTTTCCCAAGGCCGCAACGCCAACCTTGCGCTGCTGCTTGACGCTCTCTTCTCCATCCTTGTACCACGCATCAGTGACTTCATGGTCGTGCACAACCAGATGCGCATCTTCCCAAACGTGAGCCAAGGAGGATTCGAGGTGACGGTCAGCATCCATCGACAAGAGAGCATAGAGTGTATGCATCCGTTGATCCGTGAATGGCGCGCAGTCGTGCGGGATGCTTGCGACGATTTCCAAAATGGTAATGTCAAAGACGGCGACAAACGTGTCTCGTACGCGTTGCTGCGTGAACGGCTCCCAACGAGGAAAAAAGGGCTGGTGGCCTGTCGTCGCCACGCGCGAGTCAGCACTCACGTCACTTTTTCGGAGCGACACCAACTCACCGTCCTCTTTCTCTTGCTGATCATTCCAGCACGACATGAATCTGACAACTCCTGCAGATTCGTCGTATTTGACATGCAGCGGAAAGTCCATAGCTTTTGGAATGGCTTGCTGGAACTGTTGATGCATCGTGCGAACCTTGTGCGCTGGGAGTCGAGCGCTGACGCCAAACACCTTTCTCGAACAGTCTGCCGATGCGTAGGCGTTGAAAGCGGCCTGCCCAGATGCAGGTGCCACTTGATTCTCCGCACAGGCATCCGTTTGCGACACTGCATTTGCCAGCATAGACACGCTTGCTGAGACTTGTGGCAAGACAAAGTGAACCTCGTGGGGGGCATTTCCGCGCGGATGCATGCGCATCAGACCAAGGTCCAGCGACGTTTCGGTGTTGAGCAGCGTTGTCAAGAGATTTGTGTACATTCTTTGCCACATGGTGTTGTTCATAAATGCCGTGCCACTCCTGAGCATACCTCTTCTCCACAGATTATACAAAGGCTCCGCAAGACCAGTGCCAATTGTCTCCAAGAGTTGCACATACCCAACAATGGTCAGGTCTGCAGTCTGAGCCACAACAAAGAGCATCTCCAGCTCAATTGCTGGTCCTGTTGGTGATGTTGTCTGATCAAAGTCATCCACTCTGCCTGTGGACCCGTGCTGCTTTGTGCGCATCAGAGAGAGCGTGACTGGTGAGATTGTGGTGTTGGCACGGGCTGGTTCAAGCAAGAGGGAAAAGGACTGACCACCGCGGCCAGGTAGTCAAAGTTGAGGCTCATCATCTGCAACAACAGGAAAAAAGTAGACCCCATTGACGCTTGTAATGGTCCTTAGTCCATCCACAATGTCTGCCACCTGCTCGAAATCAGCTCCAAGGCACATCCAAGCAGCAGCTGCAAACATTTGCTGGATTCCTGAGCGATGAATCTCTGCAAGATGGGCTTCTGCTGGAAAAGAGGTGGAGAGAGTGGTAAAGACTGGCACAGATGCGCAAATCTCCAACACATCTGGCACAGCATTGATGGGATGTACCCTGGATTCTACCCAAGCATCTGCAGACAGACCCCTCCCAATCGAGTCAAAGTCAGGGTGAGCAATGACGGCAGAGTCGAGTCTCAGCAGTTCTCTGTACTCGCTCTCTCCTACGCAGAGTATCGCATCGAGGTCCTGTGGGGGGTGGGGGGGGGCGCGCAATCAGAACTTGTTTGCGTCGGGCGCACATCGCTCTGCTCACCTCGCTCAGCTCCTCGCTTGACATGAGATGCGGCGACTTGACCGTGAGTCTGATGGCACCAGCATTGATGATACCCAGCTCCATCAACCAGCCACTTAGTCCCAACACTATGCTTGCTCTCTGATCCTTGCTGGTCGCGGAGCCATGCAAGATGAGCATGTGCGCTTGCTCGTGTGCGTGGTCGTGCGCCACCGTCCAGTCCTTCGCTAGAGTACCCTCACCAAGTTGAATGTGACTGAGCATCTCGGAGGACCTCATTGCCATCCATCGTCGGAGCTGGTCAGCGGCAAACCTCTGAGCAGAAGAGCCGCAAGCAGTGTTGGCGAGACGCAGAGGGTTGCAAGCTTCCAGAAAGAGACCCTCTAGGGCATGCAGCTCGCGAGCGTCAAATTTTGAGCCCTTGTCGCGCAGTGAGACTAGCACAAAGACCTCCAATGTGGTCCTGGCAATGTAGCGCAGCAAGTACCCCAGCCAGCTCATGCTTGCTTTCCGCTTAGGACTTGTTGCTACCAGCTTGTCGTTACGAGCGCGCTTGATTGCAGTTCCAGTGGTCGTGAGACCAATGTAGCAAAGTCGTCGCAGCATATCTGGTCCGTAGTGGTTCACCTCGCGCTCAAGCAGAGTGACTCGTGCATTTGCTGAAGCAGAGGGGTACTTGTCTGCATAGTCTCGCGCTGCCTTTAAAAGAGTCGAGAGAGTAAACGTGCCCAGATAACGCAAGTATACGCACCAGGCCTCTGTCTCGACGTTGCGCAAAGTCATGTCGGGATAGAACTCCTCCAATAGCTCCCTTATGCCTTGATCTGGAGCAGAGGCATTGCTGGCAGGAAAAGGCGTCGCGACAACGTCGACCAAGTTTTGGAGCCAGGCGATGTGGTCCCCTAGCTTGAGCGCTGCTTTGAACTTGTCGATGCGAGTGCGCGTGGGCGTATGAACATTGGTGTGAAAAGCTCTGTAAACTCTGGCGAATGCGGTTGTGAGTAGCAGGCCGAAGCGCTCGTTGGTCAGTGGCGCGTCCATGGTGGCGTGCGAGTAGCGTGCGAGTAGCGTGCGGTGTGCGATGAGAGCGGCGTGCGAGTAGTGGCGTGCGATGAGAGCGGTGTGCGATGAGATTGGCGTGCGGCGCGCGATGAGAGTGGCGCCAACGAGGGACAACAAAAGTGAATAGGAACACGCGAGCAAGCACGGATGGCACCGCGCTACGTGTGCGACCGCACCAGCAAAGGCAAGCAAGCCCTCGATCCACAAGTGGTGCTCGATCGCGCCCATCATCATTGACGCTGAGCAAGCAACGCGGACGTGTAAATTGACATGCACGCCGTCGCGCGTCGCGAGGGCGCGCATATACAAAATCAACGCCGCGGCGGCCCGTAGGGAGCACACTAGCCCCGCGCGCGCCCACGCTACAGGCGTAGGGGTGCGAGGCGCGTCCGCGCGCTTGGCGCTCTCGCTGCTGGGCGCGCGATCGAGCGCCTGCTGCGAATCAATGACTGCGGCGCGACTTTGCTGCGATTCGTCGAGAGTCGATCCTCGTGCCTAGAGATACACAATCACGACTGACACCGACGGCAACTACGCCAACACACACACACACACACACACACATACACACACACACCCTTCACACAGCTGTGCTCGCGCATCATGACATCCTACTCCAACTGGGGCTCTTCAGACAGCCCAGCGTTCCGATCTACGCCCGTGCAAGGAACTGCCGCAAATGCGCGAAACGCAGCCGCACCGGGCTGGAGAGTCCGCGCAGAATTGGAATTGCACGCAGGAGACTATGTGATTGGTTGTGTGAGCATGAGCGTGGTGTCAAATCAACTGCCATGCAAGCCACTAAGACTTGCTTTGTTTGACCGCAGGATGGATTGCCAAAGCTGGACAAGTACGTAGAAGGCAGACCATGCAGAGCTACCTATCACGTGAAACCTGGCAATCCGGTGAGGACTTTTGAGGAAGGACAAAATCTTCTCTTGGCCAGGACCACCGACTCTCTGAGCAGCCCGGAAGAGGACAAGGAGAGCATTGAAGGAGAATACGTGAGTATGCGCCTGCGCGCTGGGCAAGGCTTGAGTGCGCACACACTTGCTAAGCCTACTCGCCCACCCCAACGCAGCGCATCCGCATCGCATCCCGCCGGCCAGGCATGCAAAACACCAGCAAGAGCTCGGGAACAGCCGGCTTTGGGCAAGCAAGCGGCTCACTTGTCGTTGAACCAGCAAGAGAAGCGCGCGTCTGGGCTCTCGCTACACCAGCTCCGAGAGGCGCGCTTGCTAAGCGACGCCAAGAGCATTCGCATCCAAGCTCGATGGGACTCGACTCTGACCAGATTCCACCGCGCCAGGACGAGTCTATTTGCAAGGACGGCAGCACTGCCACGCGTGGACGAGCAACAGCTTCGACGGCAACTGCGCTTTACAAGGAAGAGGCCTCGAACCACTCTTTGGATGAGCAGGACAGCGACGACGGCGCATCTTTGCCAGCACCCAGAGGGCGCCTTCCGGTAAGCCCGGTCACAGCAAGACCACAAGCAGACTCGGCATCGCCATCCAGGCCGCCGAGCATCACCTTTGGCAATGATGGAGATGCGCAGAATTGGATGGACAAGCACGCCAACGATTTTCGAGGCCGCGAGGTTGTGCACCTTTTTGCGACCACCAAAGCAGTAGCTTGGTGGGCAGCCAAGCACATGGCTGGCAAGAGAGCAGCGCTCAGTCCCGCGCAGCTCAACCAGCTGCACGGCACGACCAACATCCATTCTGCCGGCAGTGGTTGGCGAGTGCCAAGCAAGATTAAAGGCGCAACTGGAGAGCTGGCTGCGGGAAAGTACAAGTCGACGCTGGAGGAGTTGCGGACTTGGCTGTACGAGAGAGCAGGAGCGCCAACAGGAACTCCTACTCTGGATGGCGTGCAGCATGGAGTTGCTCACCCCGAGCACATTGAGCGTTGGCCTTGCTTGAAAGCCATGCGCTTTGACGGTGCAAGGCAATGCTTTACCATCAATGCATGGAAGGATCTCCCGCAAGTGGTGCTGACTTGGCGTGGAGCAGCCAGCGCAAACTCACCCGCAAGGAGAGGAGGAGCAAGCGCGGATTCACCCGACTCAAGAAGAGGAGGAGCCAGCGCGGATTCACCCAGCACCGCATCTGCTATTCGCGGCACGCGAGGGCTCACAACCCTAACCCTAAAGGAAGAGATTGCATTTACCTGCTGGGACTTGCTGCAAGGCCTTGGCTGGACCTCGCTTTGCCTTCCCGATCAAGCGCGCGCACAGCTCCTGCCGCGAGAGGCGCCAAAAGAGCAATTGCAGCATCCCTTTCCTCAAGCAGCCAAGGCTCTTTTGCTCCTTGGTGTCCGTAGCAAGGTCTACAATCCGCGCGGCTTTGGACACTGTGGTTTTGCTGCTCTACGCCACATCATCAAAGGCAGCGAGGATAGGTGGATGTCGGTGCGCAGGGACATGGCAGACGCAGCTCAGCACGCACCTCTTGGAGTTGCGCCATCCGCGCTGCTCTGCAACATGCCAAATTGCCAAGACAAGGAGCTTTGGTTTGAAGCGGATGCGCATCCATGGCTTGCAGCGGCAGCATATGGCAGGATTGTAGTGGTAATCAAGGTAGGGCACAGTGTCCAAGCCGAGCACTTTTGGCCTCTTGTGCTGGACGGCGATGTGCATCCAGAGCCAGTTGTCTTGCTCCTCCACCAAGAAAAGGAGCATTGGTATGGTGGTGCGATGCCAATGTTGGAGGCACTCAAGACTCCACAGTCAAAGCGGTTGAGCACGTGCAAGGATGCATCAATGCTTTTCAATGGCCGTACCATCTGGGCTGACATGGCCTACACTTATTTGCGCCAATCTCTGGGTTTTGATCCGTGATGTTGGGACGCCGCGCCAGTGTCTTGCACTTGATATCTTGGCAAGGCTATTTGCAGAAACATGTCTTGATCTGCCAGTTTGAACAATGCGAGAACATATAAAGAGGAATGTTGTATGAGATTCTCCCAAGATCCCACGGACGCGCGCGCTCGCACGAACTTCTCGTGCTTTACAGGCCAACCAGACGTACTATGGCCGCTTGTAGAGTCATATGATCCAGCGTACACCCAAGACTTTTTGACCTTGCTCCACTGACGCTTTGACAGTCTGCCTATTCTCCTTGTCCTTGATGATTTGCGACGCTGCCTGTTCTTGCATCTTTCGCAAGAACAAAGTGAGCGCAGTGGGCTGAGCAATGATTGTAGGGTTAGGGCCCAGGCAATCTAGCGCCCCATTGTCTTGCGACAAGTGCGGCAAAAGAGAGTCCTGAGGGGCGTCGAGCTCGGTGTAGGCCAATGTTGATGCAGTGACTTCCTCTTCCCCTTTGCTGTCTTGAGAAGAAGCGTCACTTCCTTGCGAGCTGCTACTCCCACACGCCAAAGCTTAAACTCTAGCAATTGTCACACGCGTCTCGATGAACAATCAAAGCTCTTACTCAAGAATTCAAGAAAAAATTGTAGATATGGAGAGCAGAGACGACCAACCTGTCAGATTTTCTGTTGGTCAGATGTCACCTTCGATTGTCTTCGTACCTCACTCTCTACTGCGCCTGGTTGTGCCGCGAAGTGATACGTGGCCAGCGCCAAAGTTTCGCTCACTGCAGACAAAGCGGACCCCCAAATTTGACTGTCTTGTTGCGTGAAAGTGCAGTACCAGACTGTCAGCTCCTGACTTGTCATATTCTTGTCTGCTCAACTCACCCCAGGTGGGCTCTATGATGGATGCGCGTGCGTCCCCCCTTTCTCACTCGTAGCGCGCATCAAGCTTCAGTGACTATCACGACAGAGTGCCTCTATCACTTTGCTCGCTCACGTGCAGCCGACGCTCTCCGACTGTCGACGTTGGCAAAGATGCTTGGTCACCGTCACACATTTGAGCTTATCTCCCCAAGTCACCAGATCTGGAAGCACTTTCATTGAAATCACGAGTCACGCCCAATTCAGATTCTACACACAACAGACATATGATGTGACTTGCTCCGAGTGTGGAGCTGTCAAAGTCTCTTCAAGTCTGTTGCGTAGACTCGGACGTGGCAACAAACAAAAGGCTGGAAAATCTGGTGGCAGTGGTCCCGACTACACGGGCAGCTCACTCACACGCTCTCGACTGTGTCGCAAATGTTCACAGTGGAGATGATGGTATTCCTTATGTACGTGTATGCAGGTGAGACTACGTACATGGGGACGCGCGGCGCGCGCGACATCCACCCATCTTATGTTGAGCAAGCAATGGTGAAGACTAACGGGACTATGTTCTGGAAATGCGTACAAATGCGATTTGGGAGGTTGCTCTTTGTTTCTTCGTGCTTGCGTTCTCATTCCTTTCTTGTTTCAGTCTTCTTGCTCGGCCTCATGCTCTTCTGTCGGGTTGCCAGCTGCTAGCCTCAAAGCTGCGTTTGCGTCCTCTGCCACTTGGTATTTCTTCAGTCGTCGGAAATGAAATCTTTCCCGGACTCCCGCTCCCCCCAGTGACTCGAGCTTTGCGGAGCGGCCAAACTCATTGCTTTCCACCACTTTGAAGGGTCCTGCCCACTGCTCCGCTAATTTGTTGTGCAAAGGTGGTAGTTTTGCCATCACCAGTGTGCCGACATCAAAGAATGGTCCAACGGACGGTGGCCCCTTCTTGCAAGCGCGGTGCTGGACCAGGAGGTGTCGCATAGTTGCCGAGTCCCTCATGCCATCTATTAAGGCAAAGCGGACCAGAATGTCATCCTTGCTGGGACTTTTCTCCGGACTGGTCTCGTCTTGCTCTACTGTGGCAACCACTCCAAACATCAGCTCTGCTGGGGTGTAACCTAACGAAGGGAGAGGCCTCGAGTTGATGATGGAGATGGCGTCCGCCAGGACGCTTGGCCACTTATGGACATGGATGCTGTACTCCGAGCAACGCTTTTTCAACGCTGTGATGAGAATTCCGTTGTTTCTCTCAACCAGACCGTTTACCCACAGGGCGTACGCTGGAGTCTTGCTGTGCCTGATATTCATCTTGTTGCATGCTTGCTCCACAGCTCCATTGTCAAAGTGTGAGCCATTGTTGGTGACTATTCGTCGTGGCACGCGCCACCTGGAGGCCAGATCTCTGAGTGCCGCTACGACCCTTGTGCCTGTTGCTTGGCAGCAAGGCCACACCCAGACAAAGCGCGAGAAGTAGTCAACTGCCACTAGCACCTGCCCAATGCTCACCTCGCTATGGGGAAGGTCACAGAAGTCCAGGGCAATGCAGTCAAGCGGTTGCATGTGCGTGATTGGGCTGTGTTGGGCCGCTCATTGCGCTGGTCCAAATTTTGCGCAGGTATCACACTCTGCCACCGCATCTCTTGCATCCTCCAGGACTTGCGGCCACCAGACTTGCCTTCTTCTTAGAGCGACAGCAACAACATCTCTTCCGAGATGGCTTTTGCTATGGCAATCGGCCGCGAGCACCTTCCCTTCCAACCTAGGAACACACCTCAGTGGTGTTTCCTCTTTCCCGCTGAGTCTCCACATCTCCCCATCTCTGAGGAACATGCGTCTCACCAACCTGCAAATCACTGCGCGTCGGGACGTGTCTGCCCTCTCCAGCAGGTGCAGTGTTGCAAGGAACCAAACCATGTCTTCTAACTCGTCTCCTTTGAAACGCTCCAGCAGATTTGCCACAGAGTGATCCACATGGATGAAGTTCAGACCAGTTGGGGTCTTATCAAACAGAATCACCGCCAGCCCCTTTCTAGGCACGCTGTCGGGAGTGTCCGTAGGCGTGCCAGCGCCCAGTGTTCTCCCCCTAGGGCCCTCACCAGCACCACTTGCAGCCTTGAAACCTTCCTGCCCGTTGTTTCGAGGCGTCTCCCCCCAGAGCGCATCCTCTACCGCGACGTCAAAATTTGCATACTCCCTGGAAAGCGAAGATGCTTCGAGAGGGATTTGCTGAACACCAGGGCGATGGGCTAGAGCATCGCACAAGGTGTTGTCGAGTCCCGGTCTGTGCACAAAGCGCAAGATTGGGTACCCCAAGAGACTCTCACGCCATCGTAGGTGGGTCGACAAAAGGGTATCGCTCTGCAACATGTTGCGGAGTGCAAGACAATCCGTGACAAATGTGATGCTGGGTCTGTACTTGATGTACAAGTCAAACTTGTCCAATGCAAAGCAAATGGCCATTAGCTCGAGCAGAAATTGGGAGCTCTTTGACTCCAAAGGTGTGCAATTTCTCGAGGCCAGAGAGATGAGGACCGTCTTTGTCGTACCATCGATGACTTGGCGCTGGAATAGGCCTGCACCCAGGCCCGAGGGGCTCCCGTCGGTTTCTATGATCCAGGGAAGCTTTGGGTTGGGTTTTGCATTGGCGACAGCATTTGCTATTGCTGCTTTCACCAACGCAAAGGCCTGCTGCTGGGGTTTCTCCCACAGCAGAGGTGAGGCTTCTAGAGCCCTTCTCCATGCACCGCGTTTGTTGGCAGGGCGAGCAAGCTCATTCCTTGCGTTGAGCGTGCGAGGCACTTTGTCCTTGGGACTGATTTGCGCTCCGCGGATACACTCTAACAACGGGCTTACCAAGTTTGAGAGAGCCGGCAACCTTGTCCGCAGAAAGGAAGCCATAGCAGTGAAACGTGGCACATCCATTGGTGTTGTTGGTGTGGGCCATCTCACGATGGTGTCCACCTTTGCTGGGTCTGACTCTATTCCCAGTTTGGAAACCTTGTTTCCACACCAAATGACGTTGCTGACGCCAATTTGACATTTCTGTGCTGCCAACGCAAATCCCACCAATCGACAGCGGCGGAAAAAGCGGTGGAGGAATGTGCAATGGTTGGCAAACCAGTTGTTGCCATCGTGGGCGGCGGCAATGTTGTCCATCCATACCACCGTCTCAGGAAATTCAGAGACTGGGAAAATCCGTGAGACGAAATCCTGATACCTGCCTGGTGCCAGTTTGGTGCCAAACGGCATCACCTGCCAGGCAAAGTGTCCACGACCCTCTACTTCGAAGACTAGTAGGTTGGTTGTGGCCTCATCGTTAAGGATTGCAAAATATCCAGACATACCGTCGAATAGGGAGTATACATCCATACCTGCCAGCCGTTGGAGCCGTTCATCTAGCGTTCCTGTTGGGAACGAGGTGTCTTCCATTGCTTTGTTGAGCGCGGTGAAGGTGAAAACAAGCCAACGCTTCTGCTTGTGGAAGACTTCCTTGAATGGCGGTGCAGGAGGTAGCTCCTTGTCAAACGGTAGGCCAGCTTCCTTGAGGGCGTCATTAGCACGGCGCCGTGATTCCTCGATGGAGGCTGGCGGTGGGCCCTTTCCTTTAGGTACCACTTTCCAGTCGGTGACCCACGTCACGTTGGAGGAGTCGACCTTTTTTACAAACCCGGCTGCTAGCATCCTGTCTAGCTCCTTGTGCACCCACTCTCTGTCCCCCGGTGCAATGCGGTTGGTAGAGCAATGGGGGCAAGAGGGTTTTGCGTCCGGTTTGAGTTTGATGGAGTGGCGGCAGACTTGATTCTGCCACGTGTCAGAGGCGTCAAGGCCAAAGACATCTTTATTCTCCAGCACAATGGTTTGGAGTGTCTCCAATTGCTGTGGGGATAGGTTGAGGCACTTGTCGTCCTCCCATACTCCTATCTGAACATGCTTGAGGACAGTTTCTCCCCGCCTTGGGTCCCTTTCTCTGGGTGGTCCAATGCGGAAAGGCTGGTATGTGTTGTGCCACTCCTTGTCAACGGGTTTGTTGGGGTCTACCTTGCGTGAAGCGTCCATGATTTTGGTTTGGAAACACCTTATGGGCTCAGAGAATTCCCACAATGTTGCCTCCCCATATGAGTCTAGTTGCTCCTCTGCGAGGTCCAAGGATTGGATAAAGACTGAGCTGGGTAGCAGGGTGTCTCCGGCAATGTCTTGGACCGCTGCTAAGGCCTCTTCAGGTCCCCACAAGCTCGGTGCTTGCGTGTGGTTCCTGTGGTTTGGTATGTATCCAAACCCACCTTCACCCGATGCAAAGAGCCAGTCTCCCAAATGGAAGTGGATGGCGTCAACTGCAAAGTGCCAAGGTTTCCCTAGCAGCAAGTTGTATTCTCTTGACGCGTCTATCACATAAACCTCCTGGAGCACTGTAGTGTGACCAACACGGACCAGCAACTCCAACATACCTGCGACATCCTGTTGCTTGCCGTCTGCAATGGTGACAACCCGCCAGGTCTTCTCCAGTGGACCCAACACCTGTTCATGCTGGCTGTACCAGCTCAGGCTCATTACTGAGCCCATCGCACCATCGTCCAGAAGCGCAACAATGTCGCAGCCTCTGTCTTCTGGCTTGGCAACGGTCGCTTTCACAGCGTAGTATTGGTTTGCCTGCGCGGCTGCCGCAACTGCCACTTCTTTGATCGAGGTCGCGATGCTGATCTCGGTGTTGGTATCCGTGAAACCCTTCGCCGCTGGCCAGGCTTTCGCCGCCGGCAAGCGTTGGACTTCCTGAAGGGCCATTCCCTTCCTCCTGGGTTGTGCCTTGAGATGTTGGGCCAGAGGCAGTAAGGAGTCTGCCTCGCCCTCGTCTCTTTCACTGGGCTCCGCGAACGGCAACATGGGCAAGACATCGGCAGGTGGGGGCCTGGCACGACCCTGCCTCATGTCAGCGGCGGATGGTAAGTCACGCACGCTACCCACCCGATCTACTGTAGCTTCACCTTCTACCGTTACTTCACCTCCCTTTTCTTGAGGAACTTCTTCTTCTTCTGGTCTCTGGCAAGACCTCTTTCGCTGGCTGACCCTGGGAGCGCGAGGTCTAGCTTGAACCTGCGGCGTCACCGTGGAAGCTGCATCCACCTCGAGCACTGGTCCTAATCCCTCTGCTTCCTCCCTCGCAAATTGGCGGCGAGTTCAAAGCGCAGAAATACTGAGCTCGCTTGCCGCATGAGTGGTGGGGCCGCCGGGACTTAGGCGGTCCCATCCTCTTTTCCCTGATCCTCGTCCTCCACATCCGATGAGTAGAAGTTGCTGATGGGACGCTCCTGAATGTTAACCACGGAGACAGAGGTAGAAGGCTTCTTCCTGCTGTTGCGCAACTTCTCGCGTAGAAGCGAGCTGACAATGCGGCGGAAGATTGCCTCCTTTTTGTCTAGCTTGTTGGCGTCCAACGCTGGGCATTGCCCTTGCAGATGGCCCTCCTTGCCACACTTGCAGCAAACATTATCCCCGGGGAGCGCAGTGCCTGGCTTGAGCGGGTATGGTACGTATCCGGAGATCTTCCCTGTGTAGGATAGTACTGCCTTTCTCCATGCCGCCCGGCCTTCTTTATTGTTTCGGAAGGTCAGGTGCGCACTGCCGTTGACTGGTCCTGAGTCGTTGTAAGGGCATGAGTTTGCCAGCTTTGGCTGGAAGATTGGTGCTGGCGCAGGGAGGCCAGAGGGGATCTTTGGTTGTCTGTTGAGGCGCTCCAGTAGCATGTCGTGTTGATCTAGTCTGTTGCGGAGTCGAGCCGTCTCTTGAATCTCTTCGACTTGCTCGGCAGAGATGTCCAGGATGGCAACAACCATTTGTAGAAGCTTCTTGCCAGCACGCTTGGTTTCGACAATATTGCGGATGGATGGCGGCAATGCGCGGAGTAGCACGTCGCATTTCACCTCCTCATCGGCTTTGTTACCAACTGCTCCAGCGGACGCGAACATGTCGCGAGCCCACTTGTGGATGGCTAAGATTGGTACCTCTACCTGCGCTCCATTCTTGACCTCCGTGAAGATGACTTCCTCAGCCATGTCGTGCAGGTTGGGAATCTTTGCCGCCAGGTCATTGAATTCTGCCCAAGCTGGACGGGATGGTACCAAAGGACCCAAGCCAGAACCGGGGTATTCAGCGAGGAAAGCAGTTTTGATCTCTGCCCAAGTTCTGTTGGCCACCATGTTGTACCACGCCTCGGCTGCCCCAAACAGGTAGGTGGCGAACCTCTCCTTTCTTGCTTCATCGGCCTCACCAATGGATGAGCGGATGAATGCTCTCATCATGAGGTCGGCGTTGACAGAGCCGTCTCCGCTGAAGTTTGGTACCTCAATGAGCTGTTGCATCTTGCTAGGGCCATGTGGGTTGGCAGGAGCAGTTCTGGATGAGGCTTGAGTTTCTGATGTCGTGATGGGCTGGCCAGTGGGGTTAGGCAGGGAGTGCGGTGCTGCGAGTTGGGTTTGCGAGGTGGTGGATGTTGACCTGCTGGTCGTTGCAGTTGACGGGACGAGGAGGAAAGATGATCCAGAAAGGCTGCCGCTTGTATCCATGGAAGTGGATGCAAAGGCGGAAGTTAATTCGGGGAGGTCCAGACCACTGTGCAGTTGCATTTGCCACCGGATGGATTCTACGAGTTGCTAGCAGAAGCTGTACGGGACGAGATACGGGCTACTAGTCAGTTGCTGGCTGATTTGGCTGGCTTCAAGGGGTTATTCATCTCACTGCCTGCCACTTCGTCGCCATTTGTCGCAGATGTTCACAGTGGAGATGATGGTATTCCTTATGTACGTGTATGCAGGTGAGACTACGTACATGGGGACACGCGGCGCGCGCAACGACTGCACGAGTTTGGGTATGGTGCAATCGAGATACGTGAGCACACCACAAGATCAGTCTACGACACGCAACTTCAAGGCCGGTACCCCTCGACGCGTGAGAAGTCATGTGGCTGTCGAAGTACGATGAGCTTCGCGAGGGAGGGCAGAGATAGAGGCCCAAGACGTGGAAGCGCGCCCTGAGTGCAAATCAAGCTCACTTGGCCCAGCCGTGCCCTTCGAAAATGTCCGGTGCGCGCAAAGCTGAGTTGTTGACGCTCGGGGTGGCAGTCGAGCTCAGTGAACTGCCGAATCCTTTGGAGTATTCGCTTAATGTGGGTGTGGCGGTGTGCTCCTCGGATGCTGCCTGTCGTGACAATTGCGAATGCAAATGCACTGCACCAGCGTACTTCTTCCATCCGCCCAGCAGTCAGATGCAGAGAGTGTGAGCAAGTGATGCAGGCGCTGCAAGCGTTGACTTTCACACTCTGAGTCATGCCATTGGTGATGGTGATTGTAATGGTGGTGCTCTACATGCGCGCGTGGCGTTGATATGTGCGATGTATGCACGCTGCACGTGACACTCCCCCGCAATTCGACACGGTAAGAGTGTCGAGTCGGGATCAGCGTAGTGCCTGTACAGGAATGGGGAACAAGGACGATTAAAGGTGACCTGGTGGGGGAATGCGTAATCCAATGCTCTTGCAGTGTGTGGTGAAAGTGGGACGGGGAAGGGATTTGGTGAAGATGTCGGCAACTTCATCGCGAGTGCGCGCGGATAACACCTGAGTCTCCTTGCGTTGCACACACTTGCGGACGAAATGTTCGTCAATGCGGACGTGACAAGTGCGGTAAGAGTCTTTGCCATTACGGATGTTGGCGACCGCTCCTTTGTTGTCGCAACAAATTGGTGTGGGCAGCGCAACAAAAGCGACCATCTTGATGTCCTTGAGCAGCTCACGGAAGTGGATGGCTGTGGCCGATGCCGCGCTCAACTCAATGTATTTGGCCTCAGTTGTGGATTTGGCCACGCGGCTCTGCCTCTTTGAAGTCCAGGATAGTGCATGGCTGCCGAGTTGGGCCAGGTGGCCAGATGTGGATCTGCTTGTGGCGGTGCAAGCAGCATAATCGGAGTCGCACCAGAGCTGCAAAGTCGGGTCAACCTTGTTCGTGCGGTAGAACAGAGACACAGAGCTAGTGTCACGGACGTATTGCAGAACCCCAAGGAGCGCAGTCCAGTGAGCGGGCCCAGGGTTGGAGGAGTAGCGGCTAAGCACGCCAAGGGAGTAAGCTAGGTCCGGCCTGGTAGCGATCATGGCGTAGAGCAATGAACCCAGAAGTTGGAGATAAGGTCTTTCTATGCTTGGCCCCTTGTATTTCTCAAATAAGATTCCAGGGGGCAAGGGGGTGCCGCAGTGGCTACCTTGCCATTGTTGAAAGCGCTCAGAGACTGTGCGCAAGTAGGATTCCTGGCAGAGATACAGGCCTGTGGAGTCGCGACGTATGTGAATACCCAAAATGTGTCGTGCGTCACCAATGTCCTTGAGTTTGAAGAACTTGCGAAGATCGTCTTTAACAGCATTGATCTCAGCAACGGTGGACGCCGTGATAAGGGCATTGTCAACGTGTACAACAATGAATGTCTGCTTGCCAAGACGTGTGCGCACAAAAAGGCATTGGTCGATGGAAGAGCGTCAAAACTCCACCGAAAGCAGAGCATTGACGAGACATTGGAGCCAGTCAAGGGCAGACGTACGGAGCCCGTACAGAGCCATGTCGATGCGGAGGACGTGACCAGGAGCAATTCCCTCCATGCCATCCGGAGGATGCATGTAGACTGGGTCGCCGCTACGTTCCGCGTTCAGATATGCTGTGTCGAAGTCCGTCTGGTGGATTGGCCAATTGAGGTGCGTGGCAATGGATGCAAGGACGCGCCATGATGCCATGCTCGCAACTGGCGCATACGTATTGGCAGCGTTGGCAGATTGCTGGTCGCCTCGAGCAACGATACGTGCCTTGAAGCGGACAATGTTACCATGCTCATCCACTTTCCACGTGTATACCCAACGGCTATGAATGACTTTGACTCCAGGCGGCTTCGGCACAGGGGTAAAGGTGTGTAGGTGGGCGTGAGAATTGAGCTCGCTTGTCATGGCTTCTACCCAGCGGTCGCAATCAGGCGAGGCCAAGGCCTGGCAATAGTTATTAGGCAGGCTAGAGATGCCGTACTGTGCGGCGAGGCCGTAAACAAGTTGTTCAGGGAAAGTGGACGGCTGCGCGCACGCAGGAAGGCTGAGCACATAGTCTGGGCGAGACACTGGCTTGTGTGCGCGGGTGCTGCGTCGTGTTGCTCCAGCGTTGGGTTGCGTTGCCTCTTCCGCCGGTGTCGAGGAGTCGGAGTCGGCGTGGACTGGCGCAGGAATGTGGAGCGCAGCCTCAAGCGGAGGAGGCCCGTCGTCATTGTGGTCTGGATTTGGTGGAGCTGCTCCGCTCAAAGAGCCGCCGCTCAGTGGAAAGTGATCCTCAACAAAGACCACGTCCGTAGCTGTTTGCACAAGGCGTGTGTCAGGGTTGTACGCATAGTAACCTTTAGAGGTTGGATTATACCCACAGAAGATCAATGGCTCTGCACGCGGCGCGAGTTTGTGCTCGCCTACGCGTTGGTGATTGCCTCGGTGCACGTACATGCGGCAGCCAAAGGGGCGCAAATGATTGATTGAGCAGGAGTCTCGACCGCCAAACAGTTGGTTTGGAATGCCGTGCCGGGTGGCAGCGTGCGGAAGTCAGTTCTTGGTATAGACGAAGGCGTGGAGTGCGTACTCCCACATGGAGACGGGTAGGCCGCTGGCTGCTAAGATGGAGCATACGCCCTCCAGGAGCGTGCGGTTCAGCCGTTCAGCAACACCGTTCTGTTGCGGCGTGTGCGGTACGGTGGTTTCGTGAGTGACGCCCATTTTGGAGAGGGCTTTGTTGGTCAAGCCACTTAGGTATTTGCCCCCATTGTCAGAGCGCAGCGTGGTGAGCTGGTGGCCGCAGTCTCGCTTGGCTGAGGCCTGAAAGTGCAATATCGATTGGTGTACCTCGCTCTTCGATCGTAGAGGATAGACCCAAGTACGCCGGCTGTAGTCATCCACAAAAGTGCATATGTAGAGACGTCCGCGTGCAGATGGCGCACCGATACCCAGTACGTCGGAGTGCACCAGTTGCAAGGGGCGCGTGGATGCGACCTCAGTGCGGGGAGTAAATGTGCGACGATGGCTCTTGGACTTGAGACACGGGTCGCACGGCTCGCGGTCAGTGCTGGAGAGTGTGATGGTGCCAGAGCGTGCCAGTCGGAGGATGTCAGCGCCGTTCGCGTGGCACAAGCGGCTGTGCCAGAGCGTGAGGGGGACAGCGCTGGTGCGCTGGGCTTTGCCGTTGAGTGCGATAGGCGTAGCGGGGCTGATGGCGTTGGGGAGCAAGCGCAAGCGGTAAAGGCCTTCAGGGGTGCGGTCCGCTTTGCCGTAGACCGTCTTGCTGCCTTTGTCGAAGATGGTTGCGAGCTCCGGTTTGAACAGGACAGACAGACCGCGTAGGCCTAGCTGTTGTACGGAAAGCAGGTTGATTTGTAGTGTAGGGGCATATAGAACGTTGCGGAGTGTAGCCCCTACTGCTGAGGTGCCATTGTCCAAAGTGATGTGGACTGAGGCAACATGGGTCACCTGTGCCGAGGAGTTGATGCCTTGTATGGCAGTGGAGAATGGCTTTGGGGATGCCAGGTGGTGGAACAGGCCCGTCATATGATCAGAAGCGCCAGAGTCCAAGTACCAGTTGTTGGTAGCACCTGTGGCAGCCAGCGCCATGCTGGTTGTTGCAGCCCAGCCTATGCGCTGTGTATTGGGCAGGTCAAGGGAGAGGTCAAGGTCGGGGAGTTGCAGCCTGGAAACAGCAGCATTTGCGGTGGGGCTAGTGCCGCAAGATGTGGCGCTGTTGGCAGTGGCGGCGTGCCCAGAGGGTGTCTTACACCTGCGATGTGCTTCAATTGCGGCAGGGGAGGCGGTGCAGTCGGCATTCCAGTGGTTACCACCACACTTACGACAGGGCGCCGGCGGTTGAGAGTCCCGGCCGGATGGGCTGGGTGCTCTTGAGGACGAGCGAGATGATGCCTTAGCAGCAAGGCCATATGCGGGTCGTTGTTCCAGGGTGAGACTGAAGTCGTGTATGCGTGTATACACTTTCTCCAGGGGTGAGCACTCTTCTTCCTTCGCAATGTCGTGGACCAGTGCATCATATTCTGGGGGTAGTGTCTGTAGCAGGCCGGCTACCTCCCATAGGTTTCCCGGTTTCATCTTGAGGCCTGCCATGGTGCTTAGCATGTCGCGGTACTCCTTGAGGTGTGCATCCACGTTCGTGGCGGGCTTCATGCGCATCCACTTGAACGCTAAGCGTAGCTTGCTCTCGCTGGTGGTGGGTGCAAAGTGGGCGCAAATGGCTTCCCACATGGTGGATGCCTCTTGATCTTTGTCCTCTACGAGGTAGAGGAGGGATGGATCCAGGGATCTGTACAGCAGCCCAACGGCCGCGCAATTGAGAGGTTCATAGTTGGTGGGCTTCTTCCATCCGGCGGGTGGCTCAATGAGGGACCACGCATCTGCAGATTTTAGGATGCCACGTACTTGTAGCTTCCAGTTGGGGAAGCGCGAGACAGTGTCGAGGCGGTCCTTCGTGTCAAAGTACATGCCTGGTATGGTGGATGCGGATGCATCTTTCCCTTCTGGTGTCATCGTGGCAATAAGCGGTTATTGCTCACAATGCGCCACCAGTAGGGCAAGGATGAGGAGAAGGGCGATGAGAGAGGCGGAGGTAGGTGGGGTGGGTGACGTATCACGGGCTCATAACCTTTCACACTCTGAGTCATGCCATTGGTGATGGTGATTGTAATGGTGGTGCTCTACATGCGCGCTTGGCGTTGATATGTGCGATGTATGCACGCTGCACGTGACATTGACCACGATCCTCACCTCAAACTCGGCATTCAAGTCGCGGCGAGCAACGCTACTCGCTCCTTTGCCGGCAAACGTTCCTCCTCCGCTTCGTGCCTCCGTTGGCAGAGGACTGTCGCTACGCGCTAGCTGTCGCAAGTTTCTGAACAGCCAGCACGAGATGATGGTCCTGAGGATGGAATGCCGGACATATCAGTAGTGCAAACATTGCTCCTCGCGACTTGCGCGTGACTCACACAAGGGCAGTGTGGAGAGGAGCAGAGAGAACCCTGCGTACTGGCGCCTCGGCCACCCAGAACGCAATGGTCTGCCCGATGAAAAACAGTGACAGGATAGTAAGGTACAGTATTGTAGTGACAACTAGACGGTGCGTCAAGTCGCTGTTGGTCGATCCGCGTTTGAAAACGTTCAGCTTGCCCTGGCGGTAAAAGCCAACGATGATCAAGGCAAAGACCAAGAGATCGTAAGCCATGTTGAAAAAGTAGGGAATAGAGACGAGGTCGCTGACAGGCTCGGCGGGGATGCACACCAGCAGACCAACTGGATTCTGCACGCTGACAAACAAGACGATGAGCGGAATCCAGGACAGGGCTGAGAGGGACCAGGTGAGGAGCATGAGGAACCTGACCCACGGGCGCGCCGGCCAAATAGACGTGACTCGTCCCACGTATAGATACTGAGCTGATGCCGTCGACAAGGCGATGAAAGTGGACAGCACGTGCGCGAGGGGCCGGCAAATGTCGATTTTGAAGCTTCCGGCGCTCATGAGGGCAATGAGAACAGATAGCGCAATCACGCTACACGTTCGAGCCATAAAGTAGGCCGCCATCACCCTCGTCTTGCACTCTCTCACCAGCGCCAAGTCCCACTCGAGCGCACCAAAGAAGTCGCCGATGACCAATCCCACTGCATTGCGACGCGACGCGCGGGACGAGGCGTGTGGATGGGCGAGCTCATCAGCTCTGTCAAGCCTCGAGCCAGCAGCCTTGCGACATCTACTTGACGCCCAAATAGAGCCCCACTCACAGCATACGCAGCCGAGGTAGGCTACAGGCGCAGCAGTTTTGGAAATGTCGACGATGAGCGCCACCAAACGTTCCGGAGATGAGTCTGCCATGGTCAATACCCGTTGCGAGGGGCGGGGAGGGCAACAGCAGTTTCAGTGGTGGAGTTCTTCAAAAGGTCCGCAGCCAGGCGGGGCCTCGCGTCGGGTGAGGAAGAGCTGGTGGCACAGGCTTGTCTGTGGCCGTCTTCAAGGAAGCCGATCTGATCAGAGCTTCCAAAGCTCGCAAGCTGTGGTGCGGGGGTGGTTGTTGCCCTGTACGCCATGGGAGCACGGGATGAGAAGCGCGTCAGACTAGACTGGACCGTAGAAGCAGGGCACAACTCGATCGAGCTCGTGCGGTCGAGACGTCTGAGAAAGGAGACGGGCAGGATAGATCATAGGACCTGGCAGTCAAGAGCAGGCTATGTTATGCTATGCTATAGTGGACCCATGCGCCATACACCATGCACAAAGGCCGACTTCAAAGCGAAAGCGACTCAGACTCGTTGACTGTCACTCTGTGAAATGGCAAGTCACCGTCGCGAGAACTGTCACGCGCTGCTCTTCTCAGGGTCTCCGCGCGCCCAAACATTGCGATTTCGAGCTCCGCATTGCTCATCACAAGGAACACGCGTCGAGGGCGGGCAGGTGAGCGAGGGAGCGAGGGAGCGAGAGAGCGAGAGAGCGAAAGTTGCCAAGTGCCAGATCTGCAGGCTCATGCATCATGCATGCGTGTCCTTTCGCTTTCAGCTGCAGCGAAGCGCCCACCGGCAGGAATGAAGGTTCATTGCAGTCAGAAGAGACGCACGAGTGACAAAGCTCGGGCGAGGGACGCGGATCGTGTGACTGCCTGCGAGTCTGCCTCTTTGCCCGATCGATCGATCGATCCATTCATCCATGCCTTGTGCTCGCACTCACGAATCACGCATCGCAGATGCAGCATGAAGCAGCGCCAGGCGATACCAAGCACCAGATTAAAGCGAAATGTTGCACCGTCCACAGATCAAGCGGAATCTTGAGCCAGCCAGCCGACTGGTGTGCACGCCTCGCGAACACGCCTTTTTGGAGGAGATGGAGGGGCGCTTCTTCTTCAGCGCGTCCCACTGTACATGTAGCGTCACAGGAACAGTGACTGGTGCGGGACATCTTGTTTGACTGGGCGCGCACCTCAGACATGCCGCCGAGTTCCTGATTCGCCTCGCTTTGGTCCACGCGGCTGACACGTTGGGCATGCATGCAGCGGCAGTTGGGAGTGCGAGTCTCGGTGCTGAATCGTGATGAGAGTCAGAGTGATCGATCGGGTGGCTGGCTGCATGCATGCATGCATGCATTCACGATTGATTGCATTCGTGCTTGCTGCTCGCTCGCACCCACAAAGAGAGAGTTTGGTGTCGCACTGGTCACCTTGAGTGTGTGCTGTGCAAGCTGTGCTGTGTTTTGTTGTGCTGTGCTGTGCTGTGCTGTGCTGTGCTGCGTTGTCACTTGTCGTGCTTGACCGACGGCTCGGCTTGTGCGATGTTGTCCCAACAAACAGCTGCATCAAGCACCTCGTGCTCTGCCATCTCTTTTCGCAGCTTCACTTGCTCCCTCTTCGACGCTTGTCGGCGCCGTCTTCATCGCGGCAAGTGATCCAGATCAGCAGCCTCGTCGATCTCCAATTGCACTTGTCAGCTCTGGTGATGGGGGGTGCATCGGCATCCGCTTCACACATCTTCCCGCACGCCCATTGATTCGCAATGCAGCACTTGCAGGACATGGCAGTGCTGGAACCAGCAGCTTCGCAGGGCTCTGCCGCGCGCCCTTTTGCTTGTGCGCAAAGCATCGCAGTCCATTTGTACGAGGATTCATTGCGCACCTTGGTCCGCTTGTGCTCTGCTCTTCGATGCGCACGAAAAAATGGAGAGAGCAGTGCGCTGCCGTATGGCGCTCGCACCTTGCCGTGGGGACCACATTCCGTTCAGTCGCCACGCTGCTGGCACTGCTGCTGGCTTGCACAGGTCAATGCGCTCGACTGTGGCGCCTTCTCTCTTCAACGCCGGGACTAGACCACGACACGGCAGTGACACGTAGGTCTGTCGCTGCAAAACGGCGCCGCTGCGCTCGACCACGACGCCGTGGTCCGCGCTCCAGGCGCTCATCAGATGGGCAGCGGCGGCGGCGGCGGCGATGCCAATCTGTGGCAGCAGCGCTATATCAATCAGCACAGCACCACAACAGATGTATATTGTAGACCGAGTGGCTAAAGAGCGGCGTTCTGGTTCTTGCTGCCGACCGCACGCGTCCATGCTTGAGCTGGCAGGCCCGGGGTGCGCAGAGTGGCACGGCCTCATGGGTGAGTGCGTGCGTCTGCGCTACTACTGTCCCAGAGCAGCGAGCTCACTCTCTCTCTCTCTGGCTAGAACGGCACCCGCGCTTGTCGTGCCGCCGTTCGTCCGCTCTGAGAGCTCTACTCAAATTGCTTGCGCGACCGAGTAGACGACCGCGGTGTCCCGAGTGCATACCCCTGACGCAAGTCAAGAGTGCCGTCAATGGCTGTTCCGGCAGTCACAGTGCGTCAAGTGGCAAAGACCGACAAAATTTTGGGGCGGGCTTGCGCGACGAGGCGCCACTGCGCTCAAGTCTTGAAGATGTTTCACACCGCACCCACAGCCCATTCACCGCACACCACGCCTCTCATCCACATCTCACACATCCTTCAACTTCCTCAAAATGTCAGCGGTCTACTTTCTCAGAGTCTCGAAGCTGCTTCTCCTGGCTTGCATGGTCGGATCGGCCATCCCAAAGATGAGCAAGCCGTCGTGGTGGATGAGCAAGCAGGTGATGCGTGGGTATCGGTCGGTTGTAGGATTGTCTGAGCGCCTCACTCTCCATCGATCCAAGCCTTACGTACACTTTGCTGCCGTCGCCAGTCTGGAACTTTACCACTGGCGATAAAGGATGCGCTACGGTCGATGCAGCAGCGACGTGCTGGGACAACAAATGCAATTTCCTGGGGGGCTCAGTCGAGTACAACTTGTTCGATGCTACATACGACAACAAACAGATGAAAGACACTCCCCACGCTTGGGCTGTGTGTGCCCAGTGAGCAAAAGCGCATACGTCGTGCATGCAGAGCGCTCATTGTTTTGTTTGGGTCTTTTGTAGGGATGCCAGTGCGGACTTTACTGCGCAGGTGAGCGAGACGATCATCTGTCCAATCGCACAAGCAGCATGCTCGGACTCACACCTCGCTTGAATGCAGGTGGGCGCAGCTCTCGGATGGAAAGCGCTCTCTGCGGAGTGCAACAACAAGAACAACTGCAAAGAGTAGGCGCGCCATGCGCTGTTCGGCAACGTGTTGTTAGCAGGCACCAGCAATATGCAACGCTTTCGACCTCGCTTCGACCGTGAATCCACAGGTTGGCGATGGTGGGTGCAGGCCGCTTACACAAACACCAAGTTGAAGGGTGTGCGCGCTATGCGAGGTTAATTCGAGGTCAAATTTGCAATGCATGGCCACCTGTGACGTCCAGATCAGACAGTCTTGTGCGTGTTTGAGCGATGCATACACTGAGTACTGCCAACACTTCTCCTTGGTGCGTCCGGTTTGCGTCTCGAGCTGCCCGGCATCGGCACAGCGCGCCTGCATGAGACCAGACGAGTGCAGCGTACGCTCCGCAGAATGCACACAGTGCTTTCAGAATGGGTGCGTATGTGTGTATCTGTGCGTGTATAGCGGGTGTGGTGAGCAAACGACAGCGCAACTGGCAGTGACCCTGTCACGCAATGACTCGCACAAAACTGTGGCGCTTCCCAGCATAAGTTGCACAATGCCCTGCACCTTCATCAAGCTCTCTTCCATCTACCAAAGACCTGAGCCTCCCGAGTAGTGCAACCACCCCAACTCACCTTTTCCCTGGACATTGGCTGTGACACTTGCCCGCGGGCGCCGAGGTGTTCTCAGACTCGCCCCTCCATCTGACTCATTGCCATTGCTCAATCTGAAGACGTTTGGCAGCATTGCTTGGTGCTGATGCAGTGGCAGTAATGTCAGCAACAGTGCCTGATTCAGTCAAAGTCAACAGGGCACAATGCACATGAGCATCTTGTGCACAAATTCTGGCCTGTAACAAGGACACCTTGCTTGTGTGGGCGTGCTTGCAAGCCAATTGAAGCACTCTCATCCAGCATGATTCTCTCTGATCTGCCATTCTTTGTGATGGCAAAAATGATCTTCTTTTCCATGGGTCCGCCTTGCAAAAGTCCAGATCTTGCTCAACAGAGCTTCAAGGCAACTGGTCAACGCGTCGCACCCACCTCTGTTGGCTCTGTGAAAAGGTACAATGCCTCCTCAAGGATCCACATGGTGTGTGCGTGTGGTTGAGCGTGTGCGTGTATATTAAGCAAGCGTGGGAATGGCGAGTGTGTGCGAGCGTGCGAGCAAACCTTGCGCAACTCTTCTATAACGAGCGAGACGAGCAGGCGAGTGGGATTGGTCGCAATGACTGAAGCTCTTGCGACGATTAGCGTGGTTTGTCACGCTTTCCGCTTGTGCTCGTCCCTCCAGTCATCTTTCTTGCACAAATGCCTGCTCACCCTTTGTCCTGCTGCTGCTGATGACGGAGAGGGCATGCGAATCAGTCAAGTGAGGGAGCAGATATCACAGAGAGCGCGCGCGCTTATGGGGCGCACAATGACATCTTCAAGGCTTTGAGGGGATTGCGTTGCTTGGCGACCGCTATCACTCCTAGCATTCGTACTTGCTGACCCTCACTCGCTACAAACGCAAGCTAAAGCACGCGCACTTGCTACACACACACACACACAATGACCACACCATTCCTCCTTTCATACAACATCTTGCCTGCTCCAGAAGACAGGCCAAACAAAGCAGGGATTGCAAGAGACCTCTGTGCTGGCTGTGGTAGTGTCTGGGGAAAGCAGCCCAAAAGTTCCTGCTGTGTTGTAGCTACAACACATATTCAAGCAAATTTGCCAACCAGACCTCAGCTGCAAAGAATTCCTTACTGCTGTAGTCTATGCCATGTACAGCCCATGCTGTGGGATGCCCAGACTAGCAGAGAAACTCTGGGGCTTAGGGTTAGGGTTAGACCTTTTGAACCCTGACTTGCACCACCAATGCGTGTATGGGCAAGCCTTTGGTTTGCAAAAGGTGGAAGATGTGGCAGCAGTGGCAGGCAGCCACCACAAGGCTCAGAAGCTGAGCACCTTGCACGCATGCAAGTTGTTCTGGGAAAAGCACTGTGAGGACACTCCAGGTACTATGCTTGCTCTGTGCTATGGTAGCGGCGCAAATTGCTGGCGGGTAACTTGAGAAGGTGCGCTGCAGATGTTTGACCTCCTCTCTGAGAA